GCAAAACAAATCCCCAAAACTGTGACCCCATCACCCCCAGGCTGTGGACCTTGAGAAATCAAGCCTCTGGAAGGCTGGAACCAAGGATGACAAGGGTCCTATTGTGACCCTGGCCCCCAGGGAGTGGGACCTAGACTAGACACAGGCAGCCTATGCACTCAGCACCACAGCTTGCAGGCCATTCCCATAGTCCAGCAAGCTCCTCACACAGCCACAGAGGGCCCTGCCGCCCTTCCTAACCCAGCCACATCAGCAGCCAGGGTGAGAAGCTTGTCTCCTGGGGTCAGAAGGGCTCGGCCACCATGCTGAAAACCATCATGCTGGGATTCCCAGGCAAGTCCTCCCCACTCTCCACTCCCACTCCATGGCAGGCCAGCCGCCCTGACCCACCCATGCATGTGACCTCCTGCACCAGCTTCCCAGAATACCCCCTCAGAAGGCCACTTTCCCCCCACTCGCTGCCTTCCCAACGCCCACGTGCTAGCCTATCCCTGAGAATGGGTACTCCTTGCCTGGCCTCTCTGTGAGCCTAAGAGACAGAGCGCCACCCCGGGCCACTAGTGTGGCCTGGATAGGCATGTACTCACCCTGGCCTTCTGCTTCTCAGCCTGGAGCTGTGCGTCGATCTCCTCAGGGCTCGTATACTGCCTTGCCCGGCCTTTATGGCCTCCCTTTCTCCCTGCAGAGACCAGCAGTTTAGAAGATGAGGGGAAGGCAGCTGCCTTGACTGCTGTGACCCCCAGAGAGCTGTGTCCTGCTTGAAATGCTCTTATCAGAGGCCACAGAGACCTCCTCTACCCCTCACCCAGCACCACCCAAACCCGGACACCTCCTCCACCCTCACATGTTCAAAGGCACACAGGAAGCAACTCATGACCATATGACCCATCACCGAACTGTGTACTAAATGAAGGCTCCCGCACAGAAGACTGGTGGGGAACACATGGTGGACGGTGCACAGCAGTGACTGGCTACATCCCCTAGTCCCTTAGAATCCAAGCACAATGGACTGGGATACAACCACAGAAACATGTACCACTTACACCCCTGCTGTCACTAGAAGGGCTTTTTATGCAATGTTCTGTCACAGTCAGGGACACATTTGATCCTCAGAACAAACCTATGGTACAGGAGTGATTGCTGGTCCCATTTCATAGACTAGCAGACTTAGATCAAAGCAGAGTGCTGAACTCCACAACGTTTATAGTCCAACTCCCAGGTTCTACCCTTACTGGCTTGGTGACTATGGGCAGGTATTTAACCTCTCAGTCTCAATTTCATCTCATCTGTGTCACTACCTCACGGGGTTGTCACAAAGATAATTAGTCAATATACAGAAAGTGGCTGGAATAGTGCCTGGTATTGAATAAGTACTACAAAAATGTTCACTAATGGCCGGGCGCAGTGGCTAATGCCTATAATCCCAGCACTTTGGGAGGCTGAGACAGGCAGATCACTTGAGGTCAGCAGTTCAAGAACAGCCTGGTCAACATGGTGAAACCCTGTCTCTACTAAAAATACAAAAATTAGCTGGGCATGGTGGCACATGCCTGGAATCCCAGCTACTAGGGAGGCTGAAGCAGGAGAACTGCTTGAACCCAGGAGGCAGAGGTTGCAGTGAGCCAACATGATGCCTCTACACTCCAGCCTGGACCATAGAGTGAGACTCTGTCTCAAAAAAATACAAAAAGTCTCTGATTTCCAAAGTACATTTCTGTAAGCAGAGAATCTACAATCATCCAGACTTACTTTTCCTTCTAATCTAGTATGTGGTGGTGGTCGGGGGGACCCACCACTGAGCACATACGCAATTGACTGCAGATATCAGAAATACAATAAAATACCTGGTGTTCATCTTAGTAGTATGGCAAAATGAATACTTAAGGGAAAAAAATACCTATAGGCAAAAACTTTGTGCTTAGACTAAAAAATGACTGACAAAGTACAGTTGAAAAAAAACCTAGTCTAAAAACTTAAAACGTGACTAGCAATTAAAGTATCAGTTTTACAGTCTGACCCTCTTCAGATGGGACACTAGACTGACCCTTGCTAAAGCCATCAGCCAGTTTTAGAGCAGGGTGGCACCCCCTCTGCTGGTCCCCGAGTATCCAGGGATGGCTATGGCCCCATCTCCACATAGTATCTCTCCTGAAAGGTGAGGCCCACCTGATTTCCAGAGTCTGTCTCTGTGAGCAGAGAATCTGTAATCAGCCAGAGTTGATTCCCACTCCAGAGGCAGTAGCAGAGATACTGGCCTCTTCTGATTTCTTACAGCAGCTGCAGAGCCATAATTGGGCTGCTACAGACCACACCACCCATTTTTAATGACTACCTAGGTTCCCAGAGGTGTCTAAGTCTATGCTTATTAAAATCCATTGTGAGAGAGCAAGTGTGCCATGAAAAAAACCAATATCCTGGCCGGGCGCGGTGGCTCACGCCTGTAATCCCAGCACTTTGGGAGGCCAAGGCAGGTGGATCACGAGGTCAAGAGATCGAGACCATCCTCGTCAACATGGTGAAATCCTGTCTCTACTAAAAATACAAAAAAATTAGCTGGGCATGGTGGCGCGTGCCTATTAATCCCAGCTACTCAGGAGGCTGAGGCAGGAGAATTGCCTGAACCCAGGAGATGGAGGTTGCGGTGAGCCGAGATCGTGCCATTGCACTCCAGCCTGGGTAACAGAGAGTGAAACACCGTCTCAAAAAAAAAAAAACAAAAAAAACCAATATCCTTTCTTGCTCTCTTAGTACATCAGTAACAACTCAAAGTTGGTTACTACAGGCTCTCCTGTCATGTACTTGGCTATGGGACCCTGACCTTAGCTTGGTCCACAGTAACTTTTATAATAGGCTCTTCAAGACTTGAAAAAATGCTTTGTAGTTAACCTAATGAAAATCAAAGTTAGTCACTTGCTCAGGGGTTTGATACTTTTAACACCTTCATGTTTTTCTGTGGTTTTCAAATTAACCCAAGAACGCATAAACCTTTCTGCCCAAAAAAGCTTTTCACAAGCCCAAAGACCATTTAACTATGAATTCATATATAAGGTTTTTCTTTTTTTTTTTTTTTTTTTAGATGTAGTCTCTCCCCCGTTGCCCAGGCTGTAGTACAGTGGTGCAATCTCAGCTCACTGCAACCTCTGCCTCCCTGGTTCAAGCGATTCTCCTGCCTCAGTACCCCGAGTAGCTGGGCCTACAGGTGCTGGCCACGATGGCAGGCTAATTTTTGTATTTTTCAGTAGAGACAGGATTTCACCGTGTTAGCCAGGATGGTCTTGATCTCCTGACCTCATGATCTGCCTGCATCGGCCTCCCAAAGTGCTAGGATTACAGGCGTGAGCCACTGCGCTGGGCCCATATTTAAGCTTTTCTAATTGTAACCTCCAACCTTTGCCCAAAGTATCCATGAAGTAAAATTTTGCAAGGAGGATGGCTCATTCAGCAACCTCCTTTTACAGATGAAGGGACCTGGGGAACAATAGCAGAGAGGCTTCTCTGGCCTCAGAACAAATCAGTAGAGAGCTAGGTTTGAACACGTTGTTCTGTAATGCCCAATTATCTCTGGAGCGATTTAGGTTTGAAAACGCTCCAGGCAGATGTTTCTGTGGGCCGAGTGCATTAACCAACATAACACATGAGCTACCAATACAAATATATTTGTTCTGTGCCAGGAGGTACCCAGGCATTTTGTGAGCGCTATCATTTTACCACCCCATCCCCAATTCACCAAGCTGAGGATTAGCCCGGTGTTTCAGATGAGGAAGAGGTTAACTCGTTCAGAGCCACAGAATTAGACAGTGACATAGCTGGCATTCAAATTGGGGACTATCGATTTCAAAGGGGGAAAGAGGATAGAGAACCGGCTACAATGGAGTGGGCAGTTATGGACCTTCCTAGAAGGCCAAGAGCTGGCAAAGCCTTAAAAATAGGAATAGTTCATGCTTACTGGGCACTTTTAACGACTGCCTGGCACTGTACTGCGCACTCCACTTGGATTACGTAGTTGAAGCCTCCTGACAGTACTATGAGGTAGGTACAATCCCCCATTGGCAAATGAGAAAACGGAGACGTGGAGCGACTAGCTCAAACGAACACACCGAGCCGCTACCGAACAGGAGAGTCGAAGCCAGATCTGCAAGGCTCGTGGCATCGCCTTAAGTATCCGTAGGCAGGCCTGGCTGAACCGAAGCCAAAAAGGACCCACGTTTTACGCGAGAGGCAGGCGGGCCCGGCACAAGCGCGGGACGCGGTGACTCAGTCCCCAGCCAGGCTAAAAGTGGGATAAATTCCAGAACCCCTAGGCCCGGAGAAGCGAATCGTGGATCCGGCTTTTCACGCCGGCGAGGACCCAGAGCTTCCGAAACTCCTCAGATCACTGAGGGAGTGGCTCTTGGCCACCACAGTCCTCAGTTTCCCCATTGGGACAATTGGACGTCGAGGCCCAGCCCTGACTCTCAGTCGATGCAGACAACCTCCCTCTTTGCCGTTCTCAGAGACGCCCATGGGCTGAGGGGATAGCGGGAGCCGGACCTAGGCCGCCCCTCGAGGCCTGCGGGCCACACTCGCCCGCCCCTCACCTCCTTTAGGCATCGCGGCTCCGGCGGCTGCGGCGGCGGCGCCTCGAACTGACACCGGAACTGGAAATACCTTGGCTCGACTTCTTCCGCCCGGCCCAGTACCCGCCGCGGCCGCTGCCGCAGTCGCCGCAAGGACCCGGACCTCAGGGAGGCCTCTGCACGAAGCCGGACTGTCTCGCGCGCCGCCTTAGTCCAGGCTCTCCCGCGCGCTGCCGGGCAACAGCACCGCCAGTCTCTCTGTTCCGGAAGACGCGTAGCCCTGCTGGCCACCCACCGGAAGTGAGGGTGACGGGCTCCAGCGGCTCTGGAATTCTATACAGGCATTAGTGAGGGCATCTAAGATGACGCACTCTTCGCGCGAGGTGGGCGGGGCTCCGCGAGGACCCCATGCCGAAGAAGTTGCCTAAGGAGCGGAAGCCATCAATCGAGTAGCGGCGACGCAAGGCGGAGAAGTTTCCGGTAGGTGTTTTTCCTTGGTTCTGAATTACCTTGGCAACAGCTGAGGCGGGAGACAGGTGGTCTGCACCGTCCTGGAGGGCGATCTGAGTGGCTGGACCGGGATCATTCGGGCTTTGGACCGGAGTGAGCTACCGAGAGGAGGCGGCGCCCCGTTCCTTGTTCCGAGGGGATGGTAGATTTGGGGGTTTTCTTCTAGGCTTCTCACGCCGTGTTCTCTGGTAGAAACGTCTTCTGTTTTGTTTTCCTAAGCTGGATTTAGATACTGTTCTTTTTATGAGCTTTCCCCACAATCCCGCTTTAACACTTCCCTTTCCTCTTCATCGCCTCCTTCCCCGAGCGCCCCAGTCTCTGTTACACCTCCCAGTACATGTTTCTTCGCGATTTGATTACCTCCTACCTTCTCTTTCTCCTCGATCTGGTTACCGCCTACCATTTCCTCCTCCGGGAGGCCTCTTCTGACTCCCAGGCTTTATCAGGGCCCTCGAATTTCTCCTGGGTCATAGAAAAGCAATTATTCTCTTGTCACAGGCTATGCGCCTTGGGGCCGAGACCAGAATTCGCCTGTTTCTAGCTTCAGCATAGGAGAGACCAGTGCGAAGACCACAGATTTGGGAGTCAGGAGCTCTCCAGAGTCAGACTTTGCAAATTCTCAACTGTGTGACCCTGATTCTACCTCTTAGAGTTTGATTCCTCATCTGTGTAGTTGTTTTAGAGAGTTCATGAGAAGAGGCTGTGGCGGGGATGGTCTTTGTGTAGTGTCCGATACCTTACAGAAGGTATCTTCTGTATTGAATTAAAGAGAAATGACTCTTTAAAGAGAAATGACTGAATTAAAGAGAAATGAATCTGTTATGTTTAAAAGTAAATAATTAACCTGAGTTCTCTCTGGTAGCAAGGAAACGCTATGTGGTTAAAAAAAACACTTTGCTATATGAATTTGGAGCGGCCTCTTTTATGGGCATTACCTGACTTGTCTTTATATGTAGTATGTTGTTTGGTGTGAAAGAGACCTTGGCAATCAGCTAATCCACTGCTCTCATATTACAGATGAAACCAAGCACCAAAAAGGGAAAGTGACCTCAAAGTCACAGAATAATTTGTTAGAGCTAGACAAGAATCCAAGCCTGCAACTGCAGAGACCAGAGATCTTTCAGCTATACTCTTGGGAAGCACAGCTTAAGGTACTTTGATTTTACAACCATCTTTCCCTTTTTACTGTATTTTTTGTTTTGTTTTGTTTATTATTGAGGCACAGTCTCTGTCACTGAGGCTGGAGTGTAGTAGTGTGAACATGGCTCACTGCAGCCTCAACCACGAGGGCTCAAGTGATTCTCTTGCCTCAGCCTTCCCTGTAGCTCAGACCACAGGCACCTACCGCCATGCTCAGTTTATTGATATTTTTTTTTTTTAAAGATGGGGTTTCACCGTGTTGGTCAGGCTGATTTTTGAACTCCCAACCTCAGGTGATCTGCCCAGCTTGGCCTCCAAAGTGCTTGGATTGCAGGTGTGAGCCACCACGCCCAGCTTTTTTTTTTTTTTTTTTTTTTTAAGAGACAGGGTCTCACCACCTTGCTCAGGCTGTTCTCAAATTCCTGGGCTCAAGCGATCCTCCCACCTCAACCTCTCAAAGTGCTGGCCAAGACCAGAATTACAGGCATGAGCCACCGTGCCTGGCCTTCCATCTTTGCCTTTATAAATACTCACCTCCTGACTCCCGACGTCACAGCCCTCCTTACACTCTATTGTAAATAATTACTTTTTTTTCTCTTGTCTGTCTCCTTGTTAAAATGTCACCTTCTAAGGGGCAGAGGCTGTGTCCTAACTGTTCTGTGTTCCCAACATCCAGTATAGGGCCAAGTTTATAGTTGATATTAGCTAATGACAGCAGCAAATGTCTCTTAGGCACACATCGTACACCAGGCATGATAACATGCAATTATAATGAAGCCTTCACAATGACTACGTAAGGTGGCTTCCATTATCCTCATTTTATAGATTTAGAAATTTACAAATATAGAAACAGAGACTTAGGAAGGTTAAGTACCTTTCTGAAGATCACAGGGGGTAAGTAGCAGAGCCAGGATGTGAACAAAGCCAGTACTAAGCCCTGTCCCATAGCTATGACCCTATGCTGCATCAAGGAAGTCAACCTGGACCAAACTAATGGCTGGCAAAGGTCTTTGGGGATTCGAGACTCAGAAACTAATTCATTTAAATTTTTCCCCCCCAGATCTTTGCAAATTATCCTGTAGAGGGAAAATGCCTAAAGTCAAAAGAAGCCGGAAAGCACCCCCAGATGGCTGGGAGTTGATTGAGCCAACACTAGATGAATTAGATCAAAAGATGAGAGAAGGTGAGTGGGGGAGTTCCTGTCTGGGTGGGTTGGGTCTAAGGGTCACAGGCTTAGATGCCTCCAGGGGACAGGCATAAATGCAAATTTAAAAAGAGGCTGGTCTGCTAACACTGACATGTTGTGTTTGCTTTTGAACTCATGGAAATACCGTAAGTGCCTGAAAATAATATGACATTAATGAAAAGGTCCTCAAAAAGGTGTTTTTTTTGTTTTTTTCAACTTGAATATAAAGGTTAGGAAGTATAGATCAAATAGTCAAATAGTCTACCTATAGTTATTTCCTATTTTGTTTAGATGTATATTTAAAATCATACGCAGTATATTTACTTGGAAGTGCTATTCCTTTTCAGTTTCATCGATTAGTCCTTGCTTCATCTGTTTTCTGTCACTTCCCTTTAAATGGCATGTGAACCCTCAGTTTATGAATCTGTGTCCTATGCTGTCTTTGGAAATTTTGTCTGAAGCCACAAGCATCTGTTGGCCTTATATGATCACAGTGTGACCACTTACCAAGTTACCTTTTTTTTTTTTTTTTTTTTTTAATGAGACAGGAATCTTGCTCTGTCGTCTAGGCTGGAGTGCACTGTCGTGGTCTCGGCTCACTGCAACCTCTGCTTCCCAGGTTCAAGCGATTATTCTCCTTCCCGAGTAGCTGGGATTACAGGTGCACACCACCACACCCAGCTAATTTTTGTATTTTTAGTAGAGATGGGTTTTCACCATGTTCGCCAGGCTGGTCACGAACTCCTGACCTCAGGTGATCCACCTGCCTTGGACTTGAAATGCTTGCTCACAACTAACCTGATCATTGTTATTCTGAGGCCATACCTCCAGCAGTAATTACTAAATTAAAATCAATGTTAAATTACTTTGTCTTTTTTTCTTTTTTTTTTTTTTAAGACAGAGTCTCACTCTGCTGCCCAGGCTGGAGTGCTATGGCGTGGTCTTGGCTCACTGCAACCTCCACCTCCTGGGTTCAAGTGATTCTCCTGCCTCAGCCTCCCAAATAGCTAGAATTATAGGCATGTGCTACCATGCCCAGCTAATTTTTGTATTTTTGGTAGACATGGAGTTTCACAATGTTGGCCAGGCTGGTCTCGAACTCCTGGATTCAAGTGATCCACCTGCCTTGGCCTCCCAAAGTACTGGTATTACAGGCATACACCACTATGCCTGACTGGCACAATATCGGCTCACCTCAACCTCTGTCTCCTGGGTTCAGGCAATTCTCCTGCCTCAGCCTCCTGAGTAGCTGGGAGGACAGGCACGTGCCACCATCCCCAGCAAATTTTTGTATTTTTAGTAGAGATGAGGTTTCACCATGTTAGACAGGATGGTCTTGATCTGACCTCGTTATCCGTCCACCTCCACCTCCCAAAGTGCTGGGATTACAGGCGTGAGCCACTGCACCTGGCCAACTTTGCCTCTTTTTACAAGAACTGGGCCAGGCTTGGTGGCTCTCGACTGTAATCCTAGCACTTTGGGAGGCCAAGGCGGGTGGATCACTTGAGGTCGGTAGTTCAAGACCAGTCTGACTAACACGATGAAATCCCTTCTCTACTGAAAATACAAAATTAATCGGGCATGGTGTCGCATGACTGTAATCCCAGAAACTTGGAAGGCTGAGTCAGGAGAATTGCTTCAACCCAGGAGACATAGGTTAGATATCGCCATTGTGCTCCAGCCTGGGCAACAAGAGCGAAACTTCGTCTCAAACAAAAAAAATCACGGAACCAGGTAACTTCTATTAAATACTCAGAACTTGCTTTGCTGTTCAGATTTGGATCACCTATTGCAATACTCATGGTCTTGGGCTGAGAGATGTCTTCCGCAAGTAGCTGTTTATCAAAATAAAGGAAATGGGAAAGTGCTGGAATAGAAGAGATTTTAGGAGTCCTTGAAAGTAAATTAACTTTGTCTTCTAAAGGGTGACTTTTGAGGAGAGGAGGAACCCAGCTTTGTGTTTAGATCCTCTTTACCTCTAGAAAGAGGTATTCTTTGTTCTGTTTTTTGTCTTTGTTTTCGTTTTGAGACAAGGTCTCATTTTGTTATCCAGGTTGGAGTGCAGTGATTCAATCACAGCTCAGTGAAGCCTCCACATCCCAGGCTCGGGATCCTCCCACCTCAGCCTCCTGAGCAGCTGGGACTACAGGCATGCACTACCAGTCTTGGCTAATTTTTTGCAGAGATGGGGTGGGTTAGTCCATTTTCACGCATCTGATAGACATACCCGAGACTGGGCAGTTTACAGAAGAAAGAGATTTAATAGACTTACAGTTCCACGTGGCTGGAGAGGCCTCACAATCATGATTGAGGGCAAGGAGGAGCAAGGGATGTCTTACATGTGCACCTGCTGATGCTTTACTACCTGCTTTTCTGCTTGGATCACAGCATTCTGTTTGCTGAGCTGAATTGTAAATCAGCTCAGCAAACAGAATGCCATAAAAGCTGGAAACATGGGGGTAGTCTTCTTGACCATTCCTCAGCCTTCTGTTTTTCCCTACAAAGTGAGGGGGTTATAGACAAAGATGAACTTGTGACTGCTTAGAGAGAATTGCTTGCGGAGACTATGAGCGTCACCTGATAGGTGCGTGCTGAAACTGTTAGCTGTCTCCTGTGGCCACTTTGCTGAGAACCTGCAGACTGGTCTAGTTTATTTGGCTTTTCCTCAGCCCTAAAGGACTTTGGCTGGGAGATGAAAAGAGGTGCCTTAAAGATGATTAGCATGCCCATCTGTGGGCCTAGAATTATCTTAAGAAACTATTATGCTGTAAAAATAGATCTGAAAGCATAAGTACCAAGGTTGTGTTGTGTTTTGTTTTGAGACAGGATCTTACTCTGTTGTCCAGGCTGGAGTACGGTGGCACAGTCTCAGTGCAACCTCCGCTTCCTAGGTTCAAGCGCTTCTCGTGCCTCACCCTCCTGAGTAACTGGGATTATAGGCGTGTGCCACCACACCAAGATAATTATTGTATTTTTAGTAGAGACAGAGTTTCGCCATGTTGGCCAGCTGGTCTTAAACTCCTGACCTCAAGTGATCTGCCCACCTCGGCCTCCCAAAGTGCTAGGATTAGAGGCATGAGCCACTGAGCCCAGCTAGGACCAGCCTTTTAACAGAGAACAACAGTTACCATTGATTTTTTTTTTTTTTAGACAATCTCGCTCTGTCACTTAGGCTGGAGTGCAGTGGCACAATCTTGGTTTACTGTAACCTCCAACGCCCGGGTTCAACCAGTTCTGCCTCAGTCTCCCAAGTAACTGGGACTACAGGTGTGTGCCACCATGCCTGGCTAATTTTTTTGTTTATTAAATTTTTGTATCTTTCATAGAGACAGGACAAGGGTGTCACCATATTTGACTAGGCTGGTCTTGAACTCCTGACCTTGTGATCCACTCGCCTCAGCCTCCCAAAGTGCTGGGATTATAGGCGTGAGCCACTGCGCCTGGCCCACTGAATGATTTTTTTTTTTTTTTGGTTGTTCTTTTTCATTTCTTTGGCTTTGGCATCCTGGTAGATTTTTTTAAATATGCTTTCTAATTCTGTAATTTAAAAGACTTTTTTTTTTTTTTAATGTCACACTGGTAACGTGCCACTGTTGTTATAAGGTTCAAGACTGGCACATCTCACACATGGATGTAAATACCCAATCATCACACTCATGAATTACCAAAGGATCCAAAAATATCATTTAAAACAATTATGTTTAAATTACTTAGCTTATAACAGCTTTATTGAGATATTAATCATATACTATAAAATTTATCCTGCCGGGCGTGATGGCTCAAGCCTGTAATCCTAGCACTTTGAGAGGCCAAGGCGGGTGACAAGGTCAAGAGATCGAGACCATCCTGGTCAACATGGTGCAACCCCGTCTCTACTAAAAATACAAAAAATTAGCTGGACATGGTGGCGCGTGCCTGTAATCCCAGCTACTCAGGAGGCTGAGGCAGGAGAATTGCCTGAACCCAGGAAGCGGAGGTTGCAGTGAGCCGAGATCGAGCCATTGCACTCCAGCCTGGGTAACAAGAGTGAAACTCCGTCTCAAAAAAAAAAAAAAAAGTTTTCCTGTTAAATTATCCAATTAAAGGGTTTTTAGTGTATTCACAAAGTTGTAGGACCACTGCCATAGTCAGTTTTACATTTCAAGGTTCATCTGTGTTATAGAATATATCAGTACTGGGCCAGGCGTGGTGGCTCACGCCTGTAACCCAAGCACTTTGGGAGGCCGAGGCGGGTGGATCACGAGGTCAAGAGATCGAGACCATCCTGGTCAACGTGGTGAAACCCCGTCTCTACTAAAAATACAAAAAATTAGCTGGGCATGGTGGCGCGTGCCTGTAATCCCAGCTACTCAGGAGGCTGAGGCAGGAGAATTGCCTGAACCCAGGAGGCGGAGGTTGCAGTGAGCGGAGATCGTTCCATTGCACTCCAGCCTGGGTAACAAAAGCGAAACTCCGTCTCAAAAAAAAAAAAAAGAAAAGAATATATCAGTACTTACTTCATTCCCCCACATTTTGTTGTTGTTGTTGTTTTGTTTTGTTTTTTGAGACAGAATCTTGCTTTATTGCCCAGGCTGGAGTGCAGTGGCGTGATCTCAGCTCACTGCAACCTCCACCTCTGGGTTCAAATGATTATCCCACCTCAGCCTCCCAAGTAACTGAGATTACAGGCATGTGCCACCATGCCTTGCTAATTCTTTTGTATTTTTAGTAGAGACGGGGTTTCACCATGTTGACCAGGCTGGTCTCGAACTCCTGACCTGAAGTGATTCGCCCACCTCAACCTCACAAAGTGCTGGGATTATAGGTGTGAGCCACCATGCCTGGCCCTTCATTCCTTTTCATGGCTGAATAATATTCTGTTATAAGGATGGATCACATTTTTGTTCATCTGTTCATCAATTTGTGAAGATTTGGGTTCTTTCTACTGTTTAGCTTCTAGAAACCTTCATGTACCAGTTTGTGTGTGCACATGTTTTTAGTTCTCTTTGGTATGTAGCTAGGAGTGGAATTGCTGCTGGATAATGTGGTAATTATGTTTAACTTTTTTTTTGAGACAGAGCCTCTCTCTGTCACCTAGGCTAGAGTGCAGTGTCATGATCTTGATCTCAGCTCACTGCCATCTCCACCTCCTGGGTTCAGGCAATTCTCCTGCCTCAGTTTCTCGAGTCTCTGGGATTACTTACAGACCCCACCACCTCATCTGGCTAATTTTTGTATTTTTAGTAGAGACGGGGTTTAACCATGTTGACCAGGCTGGTCTTGAAGTCCTGACCTCAGATGATCTGCCCACCTCAGCCTCTCAAAGTGTTGAGATTACAGGCATGAGCCACCCATTTAACTCTTTTTTTTTTAGACGGAGTTTCTCTCTGTTGCCCAGGCTGGAGTTCAATGGCCTGATATTGGCTCACTGCAACCTCTGCCTCCTGGGTTCAAACAGTTCTCTTGCCTCAGCCTCCTGAGTAGCTAGGGTTACAGGAGGGAGCCGCCACACCCGCCTGTTTAACTTTGTGAGGAGCTACTTAACTGTTCTCTGCAGTGGCTCCACCATTTTACATTCCCACCAGGAATGTATGAGGGTTCCAATTTCTTCACGTCCTTGCCAACCCTTGTTACTGTGCCATAATTTTGATTATAGCCATCCTAGTGAGTGTGAAGTGGTATTTATTCATTAGCACTAGTTATTTACAAAAGGAAAATCCTGTGTAGAGCAACCTGTTCCCTTAAGCACATACTTTGTTTCTCCCCAGCTGAAACAGAACCTCATGAGGGAAAGAGGAAAGTGGAATCTCTGTGGCCCATCTTCAGGATCCACCATCAGAAAACCCGCTATATCTTTGACCTCTTTTACAAGCGGAAAGCCATCAGCAGAGGTAATTAGTCAAGCCTTTCAAATTTGAGTCCCTTTGGAGTTACTGAAGAAACCACAGTCCTTATTCTCACAACCTGTGCAAGTCATGATTTTTCTTACTACTAAAAATTTGGGGGAGTCAATGTTGGCTGGATTTTTTTGGTTTTGGTTTTTTTTTTTTTTTTTGAGACAGAGTCTCACTGTCGCCCAGGCTGAAGAGCAGAGGCACAATCTCGGCTCACTGCAACCTCCGCCTCCCGGGTTCAAGCGATTTTCCTGTCTCATCCTCCCAAGTAGCTGGGATTGCAGGTACATGCCACCACACCCAGCTAATTTTTTTTTTTTTTTTCGAGAAGGAGTCTCTCTCTGTCACCAGGCTGAAGTGCAGTGGCACGATCTCGGCTTACTGCAACCTCTGCCTCCCGGGTTCAAGCAATTCTCCTCCCTCAGCCTCCTGAGTAGCTGGGATTACAGGCATGCGCCACCATGTCCAGCTAATTTTTGTATTTTTAGTATAAATGGGGTTTCACCATGTTGGCCAGGATGGTCTCGATCTCTTGACCTCGTGATCCACCCGCCTTGGCCTCCCAAAGTGTTGGGATTACAGATGTGAGCCACTCGCCTGGCCTTGTATTTTTAGTAGAGACAGCCTTTTGCCATGTTGGCCAGGCTGGCCTGGAACTCCTGACTTCAGGTGATCCACCCATCACAACCTCTCAAAGTGCTGGGATTACAGGAGTGAGCCACCACACCCGGTGAATGCTCTTTTTGATCCTGGGGTGGGAAGGTTTGTTAGACCGTGGCCTGAAACCCTTTCCCCATTTTTGACAGAACTCTACGAATATTGTATCAAAGAAGGCTATGCAGACAAAAACCTGATCGCAAAATGGAAAAAGCAAGGATATGAGAACTTGTGCTGCCTGCGGTGCATTCAGACACGGGACACCAACTTTGGGACGAACTGCATCTGCCGCGTACCCAAAAGCAAGCTGGAAGTGGTAATGTCTGATGCTCACACTTGATGTTATTTTCAGCTCAAAATTCTGCCCTAGTCAACTCCAAGGGATCTTACGTTATTTGGTTGGACTGGAATGTCATTTTGTTCCTGAATGTTCTGCTGGCTCTCCCTCCCAGGAGTGGGTCCCTCTGTTGAGGACTCTGAGAGGCAGTGTGTGGCTGTGACTGTTTGTTAGGTCTGGGGCCAATCTCAACTCCACTTTTGGGCAAATTACTGAACTCCTTTCCTCACTTAGGATAATGGTGGCAAGAAGCCCTACTCCTGAGGTGGTGGCAGGGTAACATCAGGGAGGGGTGGCCACTCGGTGGGAGTTCCTGTCCCTTTGCCTCAGTCCTCACAGTGATCTTTTTTTTTTCTTGAGACGGAGTTTCACTCTTGTTACCCAGGCTGGAGTGGAATGGCGCGATCTCAGCTCACCACAGCCTCCGCCTCCTGGGTTCAGGCAATTCTCCTGCCTCAGCCTCCTGAGTAGCTGGGATTACAGGCATGCACCACCATGCCCTGCTAATTTTTTGTATTTTTAGTAGAGACAGGGTTTCACCATGTTGACCAGGATGGTCACGATCTCTTGACCTCGTGATCCACCCGCCTCAGCCTCCCAAAGTGCTGGGATTACAGGCTTGAGCCACCGCGCCTGGCAGTGATACTTTCATGTTACCATCACTGTCTTTTTTAACCCGAGATGGAATCTCGCTCTATCACCCAGGCTGGAACGCAGTGGTGTGATCTCGACTCACTACAACCTCCGCCTCCCGTGTTCAAGCAATTCTCCTGCCTCAGCCTCCCTGGTAGCTGGGATTACAGCTGTGCGTCACCACACCTAGCTAATTTTTGTATTTTTAGTAGAGACGGGGTTTTACCATGTTGGTTGGACTGGTCTCCAACTCCTGACCTCATGATCTGCCCACCTCAGCCTCCCAAAGTGCTGGGATTACAGACATCAGCTACTGGGGGGCTCTGGGCAGCAGGGTGTGACTCAAGTACAAAGCCTCCTGCCCTTTCCCTCACCAGTGTGTCCCAGCCCAGAGGCCGCCCTGAAGTCCCCAAGCAGTAGCAGAGCCACCTCTGCTCATGCAGGGTCTGTCACACTCACTTAGCAGAATAACGAGACTCATTCACACCGATTGCTTTTTCTTGACTGGCAAATGTGTACTGGATTTGCATAATGTATTACAAATACATATACAGATGTAACCTCAGTGTCAACAGTAGCTGTTTCCACCTTCATGAGGGAGCCAAATTTCCCGTCCAGAGCTGTCAGGAAGGGTTTCTGAGGTGTGTCCCTATACAGCCTGTTGGCAGGTCCTCCATGGGAAGGTTGGTGCGAGTACACAGGGGCAAGCGTGGCACCCAGGCATCGATTGTCTCACTGTCCTCCTCTGTTGCAGGGCCGCATCATCGAGTGCACACACTGCGGCTGCCGTGGCTGCTCTGGCTGAGGCTGGCGCTCTCTACCCTGGACTCTGGACTTCTCAGGTTCCTGCCTGTGGCGCCACCCACTTCCTGGGAGCAGTGCCCCAGGCCCGAGTTGGAGCACGGTCTCTACAGGGAAGACTTTGCTGCTCATCAGCTGTGATTTGTAAAAATAAAACCTTTAAACCTCTCGGGTCCCGCGTCTGTTCTTTCAGAGCATTGGCCTGGGGGCAGCACCAGGCCCCAGGGACCAGATGCCCCAGCTCAGTGCTGGCCCCTTTTGGTGTGTGAGGTGACACCTGAAGGCGGCTGGAACTGCCATGGATCTGCCGGCCGGGAGTGCAGGCACCTTGGGCCCAGCGTGTGTTCTTGCATCAACACCTGTGACACACTACAGCTGTTCTTCAGGGCCTGGCTCATCCCCTAGGCGGGAGGTGACACCGTCTCACTTGTCTTGGGGCTCTCACAGAGCACTGAGGGCCGAGCACATTGTTCCAGTCGTGCCCCCATCACCTGCCCCCAAGGCCTCTGTCCACATCAGCCTCCCTGCCGGTGTCCTGGTCCTCCCGGGGCTTGGTCCGAAACTTCTGCCAAGGGTGCGGGGTTTCCTCTGCGGGCATCACTTTCAGCCACTGCTTGTAATAGGCTCGGAAGCCATCAATCTTCTCCAGGTAGGTGTTCTTCCCTTTGTACTGGAATTAGAAAAGTGAGGCTAGAATCACTGTCTGTTACCTACAGCTAATTCCAAACTTCAGCAGCTGGCTCAGGCCTGAAGGAAGCTGGTTGCTGCCATTTTCCCTTCCAGGTGGCTGCCGGGAACAGAGCAGAAAAGCTGTGAACATGCACTATGGAAGTAGCTTACTGCAGAGAAACAGGTCCCAGCTGGTACTCCAGGGCAGGCCCAGACTCCCATCTGCCTGACAGCATTCTCCCAAATACACACCACTGTGCTCCTCCATCGGTGCTTGCCACTCCAGGCCCCCAGGTCCCACCAGCTCTGCCTCTACAGCCTGCTGGGCCCCACCCCCTGTCACCTCAACACTGCCGAGATGGGCTCCACAGAGGTGGGAAAAAATAAATGATGCACCAGGCAGAAACTGGGCTGGAATATACCAAAACAGCCAACAACGACTATCTGTCTGACATACAGCTACTACCACACAATGATAAAAGGTGTGACTCAAAAGACTGGACAATTCTAAACCTGCAGGGGCCGAATACAGCCTGAAAGCACAGAAAGCAAAACTGAACAGAATCACAAATATAAACAAGTCCACCATCATCAGGGAATATGAGTACAGATGCTCCTGAGAGCAGGGTTCTGCTCCTATAAACCCATCATAAATAAAAAATCAACCTACTGGCTGGGCATGGTGGCTCATGCCTGTAATCCCAGTGCTTTGGGAAGCCAAAGCAGGTGGATGACATGAGATCAAACCATCTTGGGCAATACAGTGAATCCCTATCTAAAAAATCAGCTGGGCCAGGCGCAGTGGCTCACACCTGTAATCCCAGCACTTTGGGAGGCAGAGGCAGGCAGATCACCTAATGTCGAGAGTTCAAGACCAGCCTGATTAACATGGAGAAACTACCATCTCTGCTAAAATTACAAAAAATTAGCCAGACGTGGTAGTGCATTCCTGTAATCCAAACTACTCGGGAGGCTGAGGCAGGAGAATCACTTGAACCCAGGAGGCAGATGTTGCAATGAGCCGAGATGGCACCATTGCACTCTAGCCTAGGCAACAAGAGCAAAACTCCATCTCAAAAAAAAAAAAAAAAAAAAAAAAGATTAGCTGGATATGGTGATGCATGCCTTTAGTCAAGTCCTCAGGTGGCTCAGGTGGGAGGATTACTTAAGCCTGGGAAGTCAAGGCTACAGTGAGCCATCATGGTGCCAATGCACTCTGCCCTGGTCAATAAAGTGATCCCTGACTTTAAAAAAAAAAACAAGGGACAGCCGGGTACGGTGGCTCACACCTGTAATCCCAGCATTTTGGGAGGCCGAGGTAGGTGGATCACAAGATCAAGACCAGCCTGGCCAACATGGTGAAACCCCATCTCTACTGCAAATATAAAAATCAGTCAGGCATCGTGGCAGGCACCTATAATCCCAGCTACTTGGGAGGCTGAGGCTGAAGAATTGCTTAAAGCCAGAAGGCAAATGTTGCAGTGAGCCAAGATCACGCCACTGCACTCCAGCCTGGGGGACAGAGTTCAACTCCATCTCAAAAAAAGAAAAAAAAAAAAAAGAAAAATGCATCTATTGCTGGCAACACAGCAGAGGGTCCATTTTTTTCTGAAACGGAGTCTTGCTGTGTCGCCAGCCTGGAGTGCAGTGACACAATCTCAGCTCACCGCAATCTCCGCCTCCCGAATTCAAGCGATTGTCCTGAGTAGCTGAGACTACAGGCATGCACTACCACATCTGGCTAATTTTTGTATTTTTAGATTTTTAGTAGAGATGGGTTTCACCATTTTGGCCAGGATGGTCTTGATCTCTTGACCTTGTGATCGCCCACCTCGGCAGGCTTTATAATTATGCAAAAGTGATATGCATTCTGTAGAAACTGTAACCCCGCTGTTGGTCGATCCTTACAGGATTACATCCTGATAAAACCATTGCAAAGTTGAAAAATCCTAAGTCAAACCATCTTTAAGTCAGGGACGTCTGTCTGTGACTTAAATACCATATGCTTTAGGCCCATGATAGTCTTGTGACTGCTGAGTTGAACCTAAGGCGACCCCTTGTGAGCCCTACACCAAAGTGAAGAGACAATCCTCTAAGATACACACAACATGTAATCAACAAAAACCAGTACCCAGAACATAAAAAACCCTGGAATCAGTGAGAAAAAACTTGCAACCAACAGTTAAAAGCAAAGATACACAGTTCAAAGACGCCCAGCTATGCCTTCAGCCGCCAGGCACAATCTCCACTGCTGCCCCACCCATTTGTAGGAAGCCCTCAAAATGGCATTCAGGTATGATATTTGCATGGTGTTCCTGACCCCACACCCTCTGACTGTGTGTGTCCCTGCACATTTACTTGTCACCACCCCATCTGGGTTGTGCTCCAAGCCACAGTGACTCTGGATGCTCCAGAGGTGCTCAGCACAGAGTATGACTTGATGGACCCAAAAGCCAAACCCCCAGAGCCTGATACCCTCAGAATAGCAGGGAGAGGCTGTGGCTGTGACAAAGCCGATTCCAACACTCTGTCCTGTTCCTGCTGATACAGGAGACAGGCAGATAGTAAGGGCAACAGAGTCCTTGGCGAAATTTTCCTTTTAATAAAAAGCAACCCCCAAACCACTTCTTTTCTAACAGAGCAGCCTGAAAAATTAAGCTGCAGACATAGATAAGCAAGCTGGAAGTTTGCATGGGGGAATGCTGGCAGCTGTGCCAACAGAAAAGGACTACCTGGAGTCAGGTATATTCAACATGGAGGCCCCATCTTCCCTTTTGTCTTCACATGTAAAGAACCAGGCAACATGGCACTGGCCAGGTAGAGAACCTAGCTGCATGATAAAAGATTAGGGTGGGAGGGCCAGCTGTTACACATGCTATGTAAGTGGCACACTTGGCCCAACCAATATTTTTCGTCCTTTGTGTATCAGACACCACCTACTCAAGCTCATCTATAAAACCTGCATTCACTGCAGAAGGGGCAACCTATTTCTCCTGCACCCTTCTCTGCAAGCAGAGAGCTCTTCTCTTTCTTTCACCTATTAAACTTCCAATCTTAACCTCTGTTTTTTTGAGACTGAGTCTCCATCTATCGCCCAGGCTAGAGTAGAGCGGCTCAATCTCAGCTCACTGCAACTTCTGCCTCCTGGGTTCAAGCGATTCTTGTGCCTCAGTAGCTGGGATTACAGGCACCCACCACCACGTCCAGCTAATTTTCCTATTTTTAGTAGAAATGGGGTTTTGTCTCGTTGGCCAGGCTGGCCTCGAACTCCTGACCTCAGGAGTTTAGGAGAAATGGGGTTTTGTCTCGTTGGTCTGCCTTGGCCTCTCAAAGTGCTGGGACTACAGGTATGAGACAACGTGCCTGGCCTTAACCTCACTATGTGTCCACATCCTTGATTTCCTTGGCGTGAGGCAATGAATCTTGGATATTTACCCCAGACGATGATGCCACTTCACTGCCTGCCCAGTCCCTGAACAAGCAACAACCTATACAGAGCCCCCAGCAACGTGCAGGTGCTAGGGATCCAGGCAGGCATGGCAGACAGCCTCTGCCTCCAGAAGCCTGTGAAACAGGGAAGGCCAGGGCCACCTGTGAGCACATGCTCCAAGACTGTGGGACACGGCATAAAGGAACAGAGCAGGAAGCGGTGGGGAGGGAAGACTTTCACCCCAGGTGGGACAGGCGGCCAACTGGGCATCTCTGAGAGCCACTTAAGCCAAGACCTACAGGAGAAGTAGCCAGTCCATGAAAGTGGGTGGCACCTGAGGCAGTAGGACCACCAATGGCCTGAGGCAGGCAAGAGGCTGGTGGCCTCTGGGAAGTGACGAAAAGCCAGTGGGACAGACAGAGGCAGCAAAGGCAAGGTTGGCCTGAGACATGAGATGAGCCATGCAGACGGGGACTCACAGGCTGTGTTCTATGGACTTAGGGACTTCTAAGGGAAGCTGCTGGACAGTTTTCAAGCATGGGAACACAATCCCAAGGGCCAGAACTGGGGTGGGTGGTGGTGTGGGGTGGCAATGGTGAAGGAGCTGATGTGCTTCTGAGCTTGGGACACACACCCGGTCAAAGGTGGGAGGGTACTGGGCTGCAAACTCCAGCTGGCGGATGACCACTTCATTCACCGGGACACTGTTCTGCCTCATGTCCTTCAAGATGTTGATGAGATAGGTGTAGTCCAGTTTCTGGACGGCCGCATTGATGAGGGCGCTGTAGATGTGGGTGTTGGGAGTCACCTGGCACTTCTAGAACACATGGACATCACAGCATCAGCAAGATGATGGCAGCCATTGGGATCCAGCAGCTCCCACCCTCTATCAATCAGGCTAGCTCCCAGGACCAGCGGCCAGGGCCAGCAAGGCAAACCTGGCAGCAACGATGGGCTGAAGGTCCCTTTCCAGCAGGAAAGCCAAGCCCGGCCCCTCCCCTCTGCCCTGAAGAAGCTGTGGGAAAGGATGCCCGTGCTGCTCTCAGGCACCAACTGACTCCGGCAGAAAATG